ACAGGTTAATGGTTTGACTTGATCTTAAAGGTCTTTTCTGACCCTGATTGTTCTATGATTCCATGTACATGGAATTCTGGGTTATTTAATTATTGCTCCGGTACCTCCTTTTTTTGTGCTGCTGTTTCACTGTTCTGCACATCATTTGTTGGCTACAGCAAAAACAACCCCCAGTGGAGGGATCACACTTCACCGTGTGCCCTGACTTGCTTTCCATGGCATCCTCTCTCTTTCCAGTGAGTGAAGGGAGGGCAGTGCTGTGGCCAGGATGGGTGCTGCAGGATTGGGTGGTCTGAACCAATGCCAAACACAAAGTTGCTGCCAGAGACGACTGCCTGCCTGGGAACACCATTATTTCTGCAAATAAGAATTGTCTACAAGTCCCATAAACAAATTCCACTTGGGCCTTGCTGCCTGGCACATTTCTGCTATGGAAATTATTTCAGTTAGAGTGAAAATGTGTCTGTATGTAAAACAGTTTTGAATTAAGTTCTTAGGCTTGTACAGTTCCTGATATGGACAAAACTGTGAATTGCCTCCCTTTCAGGCCAGAGCTGATGTGCTGCTAGTGGGGCTGGAACACAGCTTGGGCTTGGCTGCTGTCGTTCATTTGTGCAACCTCATTTGTGCTGACAGTTACACTTTTGGTGGGTCTCATGGAGCTATGAGCACACAGAGTGATTATTACTGTTTTGTTCTTGTGCTAAAGAGTTTCAGCAACTCAAAATAATTGCACTGAAATTTTAGCTTGTTGTGTCCAACTGATTTAGTATCAGCAGCAACATGGGTAGGAGTGGGATAGTTTCAGGTCCCAACTTTGATTTGCCAGGCAGGGCATGTATATAACAGTTCCCTGGAATGGGTGCACTGCTTTTTGCCACCACCATGATGTCTCTAACACAGGAAAACTCTAGCTTGGAGTCCAAGGGCTGAAGGGAGGGCTTGGAAACCACTAAAGGCAGTGCTTGGCCTCTGCAGGAACTCTTTGTGAGAGCTAAATGGGGCTCAAGTGTGGCCTTTTAGGTGTCTCTTGCTCTGCAGAAGTACTGGTGGTTTAAAATTGCTCTTCCTTGTCTCTTGCAGGTGTACCATGTCTCTTCAGACAGCTACGAGACACAGAACCAGCACTACGGAAGGAGCTTGACCAAGGAAACAGTGAAGGATGGTAAGGGCATGAGGGTTGGAATTTGGTGCTCCTGGATGCTCTTGCATCCTATTTTCTGTATGCAAAAAGTAGTCTGTGCGTTCCCACTTCTAAAGTCCTTTTTTGTCCTTGTGCCTGATGGGTCTTTAGCTGTTCCCTGTAGCATTTGAGCTCCCTGTCAATCCCAGATGAAGTGTTGGCTGTAACAGTGGTGCAGACTCTAGAAATTCCCTCCTCAGGTCTCTTTTACTACTAATGAAGGGGGTGATAGTTGTAGAAATCAATTTCTTTGCAGCTTTGAAACTATAATGAAATGATCTTTTAAAAGCATTGAATGTTTTTATAATAAATATATATTTTATCTCTACTTGTCTTCCATGAATAGTGTTTTTTTTGTACTAGAAAGACTCTACAAATGCATATTTCAGTTCAGAGGACCTTCTCAGAAGTCACCCCACATGTTGCTCTGCATTAACAGTAAATAAAAGTGCTGCCATCATACAGCTGTTTGGTGACAACTGTTGCAAACTAGTTCTTAGTTGACACCTGCTCATGTGTCCCCAGTGAGGGTTGGAAGGGCACACACACCGACACACAAGCTGCTTAAGCCTATTTATCCATGGAGAACTTACTTTGTTCCTGCCCAAAACTGTCCAGACACTTACTAAAGTGACCTGGGGAGCAGTTTGCTTGATGCATTGATTAGTTTTACTTCCAAAGCAAGCCTGAGCTGTAGTATTATACAGCAGGTGAGGTGACTGGAGGTATCCAAGTTCCTCGATTCACTTTGGATTTAGTTAATAATTGCCTGAATTCTGTCTGTTCATAGAATCATCAAGGTTGGAAGAGACCTCGAAGATCATCCAGTCCAACCATTAACTTGTCACTGCTGGAACCCCTAAACCATATCCTCCAGTGCCAGATCCAGACATGTCTTAAACACCTCCAGAGATGGTGACTCCACCACCTTCCTGGGCAATATTCCAGTGCCTCAACACCCTCCCAGGGAAACCATTTCTCCTAACATTCAATTCTAATCTCCCCTCAAATAAGAAATTGAAATTGTCCCAAAAGAATCCAGAAGAAATGGAAATTGTTTTCTTTTCAAAGCTGAAAATAATCCCCCAAATGTGTCTTATTTCTTTCAGGCATCTCCAAGTTTTTCCACAGTGGGTACTGCTTGAGAAAAGATGTGATAGCTGCCAGCATTCAGAAGATTGAAAAGATTCTGGAGTGGTTTGAGGGCCAGACACAACTCAACTTTTATGCAAGCTCATTGCTGTTCGTCTACGAGGGTTTGTGCCAGGCAACAACCGTGCGGCTGAGCGATGGCACCTTGGCAGAGAAGAGAGCAGTGCCCAAAGGCCTCTTGACAGGTGGAGACATATTGGAGTATAACAATAATATTCATGTGATCAATTCCACAGAGAATGGAAAGATTGAAGCCTCTGTAAGTAAAGGCCTGTCCAAATTTTATGCACTCCACAAAAAGTCCTGTGCCAAGAGGCACCACAGCCAGCTCTCCCTCCAAGTGGAAACCTTGGAGCAAGACAACGTGTGGAAAAGCAGCACCTGCATCACCCAGGAGCACCTGAATGGGAATGTCCTACCCCAACTGGAAAAGGTTTTCTACCACATGCCAGCAGAGCCCAAGGAAAGTGCGAGTGTGGAAGTGCGGATGATCGATTTTGCTCACGTGTTCCCTAGCAGCACCAAGGATGAGGGCTACATCTATGGCCTGAAGAACCTAATCACAGTACTTCAGAATATTTTAGATAACTAAATTCTTTGCTATTGTTTTTTTTACTGGGGGCCAATGATAAAAGAGGAGCAGCGGCATGAAGAATTTCTGCACTTGTAACGCTGTACAGAACTGGGTTTGTATTGTTCTCTATTTTATTTGTCTTTGTACTTTTGGTAGAAGGGTTTAACTTTTTATAATCTTACTCAGGAAAATAACTGGTAGTTAATTAAGGAGTGTGAAAGGATGGAGATACTTGAGAATAAAGCAGGATAGGTAAGTTAATAGAATGAAGTGGACATGGTTGGCTTAACTCTAAGGAGTACCAGAAGCAAAGGTGATGTTACTTCCTATAATGACTTAGCATAGATGACATTTGCCCACTTAGCCTTGACGCTGAGCCACATCTCCATGAACAGGTATTTAGGAAATGGACTGAGAGCTGTCAGGTGTAGGATCAATGTCCTCAGCACTGCCCTTGTGTTTACTTTATCTGAATAACTGGAGTAACCCTGCTTGGAGAGAAATCCTGTGCTGAGTCAGCATCTCACCTGTATCCAGTGTATCCACAAGTGCTTTTCCATGCCATGGGATGATATTGCTGTTCTTTCAGCCCTGGTGGGAGCCTTTCCCCTTGGTGGGTGTCCATAGCTGATGTTCACCACATGTGAGCTACCACGTAGTTTGTGTTGAGGTGCTAAGAAAATGCTGGAGTAAAATACCCAAAAAGGCTTAAACTGCACAACTTCTAGAGCAACTCTTTGTTCCTAAGGAAGAGCAAAAGAGTGCAAATGCAAAATGTTCCAGGAACTGATTTGGTTTAGGAGGTTAAGTCAATCTGCTAATGGAGTGTCTGTGACTAAGGGAAACGCCTCACTCTGTTGTTCTCTTGGCCCTTCTCCAAAAACATTGCTTTAAGGAGCAAACTGGTGGAATGAGGGAGCAGAACTTTGTGACTAAGTGTACAGAGATATCACTGTCACACTGCTGCTGCTGGGGAGCACCAGCTGGAACCACGAGCAGCACAGGGAAGGACCTTCCTGCAGAGATCATCCAGCCCTGGAGCCACCAGCAGTGCCACCACGTGTACCAGTGGAGCTGTGGCTCTCCCACCCTGTGCTGGTTTCTGCTGATGACACACAAGCAAGTTGTGTAATATGAGAGTTCTCCCAGTTCCTTTCTTTTCCACAGGAAAAATTCAAGCTTATATGTGGAATATTCAAGGTTGGGATGATGTATCCAAAGCATTTTTGGTATGTCTCTTCTCATTCACAGTGAGCTGTGTGAAAAGGGGCAATGGCAGAGTCTTGCCATGCCTAAAGCAAGAGTTGAATGCCTAAAGCAAGCCCCAGGAATGGATTTTAGGATGGATTTGGTCATGGGAAACATACATCTTTTCCATGTGGATTTACTGTGCCCCTGTGGCCTTGCTGCTCTCTCTGTATGATGTTCTGCACTATGCACTCAGTTGTGTCCATGTCTTGGCAAGTTCCTCATTTGACATGTTTTCTACATCAGCAAGAGATACTTTTTCAAGCAAAAATGCTGTTTTGAAGCCAAAATTTAAGCTCTATTTGAGACCTTGGGTCAATTGGAAGAAACAGGGTATTATTGTGTGTAGAAATACAGTGTTGAGACTTCAGAGCTCATCTTGGCTAACACATTCAAGAGTGAACCCAACCTGTTAGTAACACAATGTTTTGGGAAGAGGCTTGCAGGAGGGGCAGAATCATTTTGGTGATAATTTTATGTTGAAGGCTGAGGGGAAAGTGCCAGGAAGAGAGGGAATTTTTTTCTCCCTGGTATTTCCCTTGCACCATGTAGTTAATGTATTCCCAACTCTCTGTGAATTAATTTAAGCCATAATCTAGAAAGAGTTTGTGGTTTGTTTGCTTTGATGCTGGTTTCTCTGTTGTGATTCTGTTGTTCTATCCCATAGTCAACACTAGAGCAGTCCAAACTGGTTGTGGCCTTGTATGATAAATTTACAAGGTTTTATGGGTGAAAACAGCTAAGAATTATCATTTTTCTCCTCTGTAATTCATCTCTTCTGGATCTCAATCCATTTTGTGCCAGAGAAATCAGACATTTGCCTCAAAGAAGTCAGTGGTTGGAAAATGATCTGTTTGCTCTTAGCACGACACACTCTCCTGTCTCTGCTCTAAGACTCATGTCCCTGGTGTTTGAATGCTCTTTAAGTACTGATTGTTGTGTTGGCTATGGCAGTGTTTGTAATGCACCTGGAATATTGTCCTCCTGTCAGAATATTTTGAATAAAAAACCAATAAAATTATTTTTTTCATGGTTTTTCTTTTTTTTTTCTACCAGTAGTTCTTATGAATGTATTTCTGTTAATTTAACATGTAGGAGAGATAACAGTATTTTCCCTTGGAAGATGTATAAATAAATGTTGCTGTAGAGATGTTTGGGCTTAGCACCAGCTGTGAGTCTGAGCCTGCAAAGGGCCTTTTATTCACCTTGTTCTTGCACATTTGAGACTTGGCATTTCTGGTGTCTTGTGTCTGATTGTTTTCAGTTCCAGCTGGAGATGTATCACAGTAATCATTAACCAGAACATGGAATGAAGCAGAAGATGAAGGGGGAGACACTGGTCACTGAGCTGATGCACTGCCATTCATCCCCTCCCTCCCAGCAAAGCTCCTGGTGTTCTCTGGATGAAGGAGACAGGACAGGCAGCCACTACATGGGAATCTTCATGGGAATACCATTCCCAACAAGTCTTGGAGGTATTTCTGTCCCATCATACAGAGAGCAGATCCCTGCCCTGGACCAGTGTGGTGATTTGATTTTAAGCAATGAGTTGGGTTCAGCAGAGCCAATGGAAAAGGGAAGATTAATGCAGCATTGTCACTCCTGGACTCTGAGAACATCCTCCTCTGCAGCCTTTCTACCCACATGATGTGAGAACTATGCATAGGCTTTACTTAAGGAGAGCTTGGATTGTATAAAGTTTTGTAAAAGAAGCATTTCCATAGATGGTATTTTTGGATATGGGTGGAATTTGTTGCATAAATTACATGGAAAGTTATTATACCATTATGAAATGTTTAGAATATTTTAATCAAGTTGTTTTATGAACTGAACTGGAGAATTTTAGTTGTGATTCTCATGAAACTTGTACTGGGTTAGTTTTTCTGGCTGTGATGAATAGGCAGAGGCTTCTTTTCCATAGCCCCACAGTTTCATGGAAAGCTTTTAAAGTACTCAGTAGGTTAGGAAATCACTAATTCCCATTAATTTGATTAACAGAGTGTATATGGTTTGGAAATACTCAGTGCAAGTGATATTTTAAGTAATATTAATGTATTACACATCTAGAGTAAGTAACTTCCTCACCTGCAGAGAATTCCTGATCCAAGTCTGGACTGGTCAGGGTTTAAAATGAGCCTTCTCAGGTGTAGCAGCAGCAGTGGTGAAGGGAAGGCATCACCTGCACTGCCTATGTCAGGTGCTTGGAGTGTTCCCAGCCTGAACCCAAAATCATTGGAATTACTTGCTCACTCCCTGATGTGAAGCACTATCAGGTGTAGGAAGAGAGTGAAAGGGTAGAGACTGTCATCCAGCATCCACATCTGCTGCTTAAAGTAATGATTAACTGCTCATCCTCCTAATTGTTTATTTTTCCCCCCCACAAACTGAGCTTTTCTCCCCAGTGCCTTCTTCAGCACTTGCCATGGGGAGCCTCCTGTAGCATCCTGGTGCAATGATTTCATGGGTATTCTTATTTCCTTAATAAACTTAGGCCTCATAACTCCTCCCAAAGTGCTGGTGCTGAAAAACATCATCAAAATGCCTCCAATGCCCTGGAAGAGCAGGCGTGGATGCTAGAGGACAGATTCCCTGGGACATTGGTCATGGGCTTTATGGAACTCCTTTACCTGTGGGTTGGGGACACTTTTTGGGGGCAAGGTGGGTGACAGCCAAACTGCAGGACATTAAGTCCATGCTGCAGCACAGGGAATGGCTATGGATAAGATCCAAAGGCTTCAGGTGTCTCATAGGGAGAATATTCTATGTATATTCATCAGGGCACGACTAGATGTTCCCTGGGAAGTCCATTCCATAGCCACAGGCCAAATCCTGCCTGTTGTCCATGTCCACAGCAATCTGTAAGTGGAAGCTGCAGGAGAAAACTGTCATCCAGAGGGGAAATGTGTTAGAAATGGGAAAATTAGCAAAGCTAAGGCAGAAAACGTTTCAATCAGTTTACTGTTATAAAAGTGGAAAGTGTTTAGATGTGCCCTGTGGGTTTAGAGTTTCATGTGTGACACGACATCCAGCAGCAAACAGAGCAAAGGTACTTCAAAACTCCTCAGTTTGAATTGTATGGTTCAAATAGTTATTTTTTTCTCAAAAAAACAAGTGATCTATGAAGTAACTTCCAAACCCTCTGTCTGTTGCACCTGACTCAAAATGAAACTAGAGTGCACAAAGGCACTTTAATCCTCTGGGAACTGTACTGGAAGGTAGATGAAAGCATGTGAAATTGCACCTGATGCTGTGTTGTTAATTGTCTTTTCAATTTAAAGTTCTAGGTTAATTAGGCTTGATAGACAAATCTAGTCTAGTCTGGTCTCAGTTTCTTTGATCCAAGTGTCTAAAGCAGCCCCTCAATCCCCTCTGATCTGTGTGTGTTTGTAATTTCATCTGCTATTCTCTGCCCTTCTTGGCCCACAGGGGGTATTGTCCATGTTACCTGAGTTTAGTTTTCTAGGATATCCTAGTATGCTACCTACCAACTTTTGTAACTTGATTCTGAGTGATATTTAGGGTCATTCTAATACCTGTATATTTGGCAAACCATTAAAATTTTCTGCAAGTGACTTGCAAGTATAACTGGTTTCTTTTTAGTACAGGAATTGGTTTCTTTTTAACTCAGAAAGATTGAGAACAAGTTTGCTTGACTATACCTGCACTGATGAATTCTTCTCTCTGTCTTTCTCCTCTTTCCTGTTTTTCCTTTGGATTTACCATATTTCCTTTACAATATTCTTGCCATGGCATCCAGTGCCATTGTTTAT